TAACCCCAGAAATAAGATGTGGTAATTATTTCTGATAGTTATTATTAAGGCATTGGTGTGTGTATGTGTGTGAGCCTGTCACTTGTCAGACGGGATGACTTATTTAAGAGATTATTTCAGATGGGGTGCAAGATGTCAGTTTATTTGTGTGCACTGTGAGCATGTGGCGGAAAGCACTCGGTTTTGGCAGCTGAAGAGCCGAGAGCGCTCTAGTATCATGCCAACAATTTGTGCTGTCACCTGCCAAAGGCTGACTGGTCAGTTTGATTTTAGCTCTGAGACTAAAATAAAATAATGGTCTTTACTATCCAATCAGCTCCATCATGATGAGACCAGGATGACTCAGCCATGAAGGAAAACTGTTTTACTTTAACACTTCACTTAAGTACATTTGTTGCATGAAGTTCAGGGACAGCATATTGTGTCAATTCGACCAAAGTTGTTACCTAATTGGACAAAGTAAGAATATTAGTTAATAACTGCATCATCACTTTTGACCTGTAGATGTTGCGCTCCAGTTCATTTCTGAGTCTCATGTTAAAATCTCCCATTGCCATTTGCCGTGCTGCAGTGTAAAGAATAGAGTATTTAATGCTTTGCTTTTCAGATAAAGCTTTAGCACACATCGTCTGTGGGTGCATCTCTAGCCCCTGGTAACCCTAAGAAGTTAGCAAGGTCAATATAGTTTGCTTTGGTCATTTACTTCATCCTCTGAAGGGAGAGCAAGCAGACGCTGTTTCTTGCTATGTCTTCGTGTTGCTACAACACTGAATAGTTGCTAAGATCCTGGGGCAGTCCAAATCAGATTGAATGAGTTCACTGAACACGTGTATGTAAATCATATGGACTTACAAACTTAAATCCATTTCGCCAATTGCTCTCATGTCACCATCAAGGCTGGAGAATATTATTTGGTTCAAAGAGAGGACACCTGAAAAGATACTAAACAAAACAGCAGCCATTTGAACAGTAATATACCCACTGGAAACTTGCCCACAAGTTATCATCCAAAGTGTCAGTATTTAGAGCTCTTTTCCTCTGCCATTATCTGTGCTACAATACTCTGAACGCTGACCGCAGCTGACACAGCTTTATCGCAAAGCAAAATGTGAAACTTTAGGTCCCCAAAGCCGCTGTAAGAAAAGCAACGCAACTCCTGAGGACCCGCTTTAGCAGACGTCAGCAGAAGATGAACTACTAATTGAAAGGCTGTGGCCATCCCCCACAATCAGCCCCTTTCCATGAGTGATTATGGACCTGACTTGGTGACCCTAAAATTCAGATCCCCTGTAGTCTCTAAACCCTCCGGTGCCTCCTTTAAGACCGGCAAGAGTGACCAGACTGTCGGGGTGAGTTTCCAGCCTCCGCAGGGTCCTCATTATATGTGACAGTGAAATCCTCACGTCTTTATTTTATTTTTTTTCAGTTCATATCTTCCTGTTTCCTTCTCATTTAAATGATCCCACATGCACTGTGCTTGTTTCCTGTTTCCTAACTGACGAGATAAAAGCTCCCCAGGTACAGACGGATATAAACCAAAAGCAGGACCGGCTTCAGATTAGTACAGTAAGTTCTTATGGAAGCTCACACTGATGACCTTTACTGCTGACCCTTTCTTCAATCAGTCATGCTAGAAAACACGTTTTAATCACTTTTTGGTTTTAGTAGGTTGTATACTTTAAAATGATTTAAAGTTGTGTGAACAGGAAAATGCAAGCCTGAACTAAATAAATAATGAACACAGATGTGATAAACATATTTAAAGACTGCTGCTAGAGATATCATGAACTGTGTTGTTCAACACAACAAAGAAAAACACTCCATAAAGCTCCTGAAATGGCCTTTGAATTATATCATGTTTTTGAAAGTAGTCTGGTGGTTATTGTCTGTACATCTATGGGTGCATTATTATTCATTCAACATACTTTTAATAATGCTAAATAATGGAATCCATCCATCCATTATCTATACTGCTTTTATCATCGGGGTCACGGGGGGGGGCTGGAGCTGATCCCAGCTGTCATTGGGCGAGATAAATAATGAAATGTCAAAGAAAGACGCTTACATTAAGAACAGGGCTCAAGATGTGACATACAATGTAACTAAAATGAATCCTTAGCCACATTCTCGTCCTGTTAACGTATATCCCAAGGCATTATGGTGACTGTAGACAACTGGACAATTGGCTCAGGTCTTTCCACAAAGTATTACAGTTATAAAATTAGCTGTTGAAGTCTTTGTTTATACAAATCCTTCTTGGGAGTCAGGTGTTGCAAATGCACAAATTTGACTTTTCAACTATTTTTCTGGTGTTGTCATTTTTGAAGAGATATTGCAACTTGTAACTCTTCAAAAAGCTGATGCAAAATACCACTACCAAACATTCCTGTCAGAAGAGTGTTTTTCCAGGAAATCTAACACTGTTTTCCCTTTTGGAAATACTGTACGGCCAAACTTGACTTAGGCATAAAATGACTTCGCTAAAAGTCTGAAAATGAAGACAAGGCAACAAAAGCCTCAGGTTCCGTTTGGGTGAAGTGACTCACTCAGCTCCTTTAGCCTGCCTATCATCGTGGATTCCCCAATGATCTGGTGGAGTGCACAGGGCTGTGTGTTTTCCTGGAGTTTGAAAAAAACATATATGTGTACACACCAGCGCACACTTGTACATTAACACACACATACACACACACACACACACACACACACACACACACACACACACACACGGACAGACAGACAGGGAGCTATGTTCTGATCACTGCCAAGCCAAAGCATGCAACATGATAAGAACTTTTTTTTTTTCACATGAACACAGATGCATTACATGTGTCAACAAGAAGGCTCACCAGTTTCCAGAATGGGAAAGACCCTACAGTACACACATCAATGCATTATGGTAGCTTTACATTGCAGAAATTACACTTTTTGTTACATGGTAATATTCATACATGACTCTTTCAAACTTAACGTGACCACAGTGGAGAGACAAGCCCGAATGAAGTGACCAATGAATGAAGATGAATGCAATGAGGTGTGGGTGCGGTGTGGAGTTATGTCGCTGTGACGTAATGCGGTGATGCCACGTGAGTAAATGATCAACAAATCACTGACAACAATGCGGAAGTACAGAAAATCAACAACGGAATACAGCTTTCAAAAAGAGATAAAGACGCAACAAGAACAAAACGAAAACGAAAAAAGACAAAACCACAAGCTGCTTTCTGTCTCGGCCCCAGAGAGTCGTCCTCTTTGAAGTGGTTTTTGCTTCAGAGCTAGGCGGGGCATGGGGGTGAGGGGGTGGGGTTGTGTTTCGAGGGGGGGGGGGGGGGGCTGGAGAGGTTGACAACTTAGCGAGGACCTTCTGTTGTGCACTTTGGTTGTACCTTTTGGCAAATGGTCCCTAAGCACAGAGCAATCACGAAACACAACAGCACCAAACAGCTTCCATTAAGAGAAGTTCAAGTTGCTGAACTCCGATCGATACTTGTCTTTTTATTTTTTTTTTTGCTCTACCTTTCCAATTTCCCCCCTCCAGCTTTGATTTTTTTGAAAGTCACTCTCATTCGATTTTAACTGCTGCCTCTTCTCTCTGGACTTTTCAACACGTATTTAACAGAGACAAGAAGTGAATTTTATGAAAACAGATTCTTTTGGGACTTGGGTTTTGCGTCTGTCACCATCAACAATTTTTTTCTTCTGATAAATCACTTTTTGCAACTTTTTTCTGCTTTTCTCCAAAGTGGCCAAGACAATAATAACAGTTCACTGCAATCCTTTTCAACCTAGATTTTTCCGTCCCTTACTCTCTTCCTGTTTGTCATTCAATACAACACGGCCCGCTGAGGTGGTATAAAGTGTGATTTTGCCACTTAAAGGCTTCTGCCTCTTACAATGTCCTGTACCGTGGGGGGGTTTCGATTAGCCATCAATTTGCTACACCACTACTTTCTGCCAAGTTCAGACAATGCAGCAGAACAATCCTGCAGAACGTGCAGTCAACAACAAACAAACCATTTTGGGGGCGGATGGCTTAATTGCAACTGATAAATGCCATAATTTGCAGTGAAACTCTGCTGGCAGAGGGCTCTTGGGTAAACAAAAGCAGGAGGTAAACATAACGTTTTGTGCTGTCGATTCCTGCTTGAAAGGGGGCAAGGTAATAGCTCATCCAAAGCTTTCATTATTCCACTTTTGTTCTTGCTTATCTAACTCTGTATTTTTGTATCTACACTATCAATTTTTACACTCCATCCTGAGCCATTTTACAAAAGGCATTACAGCAACCAATTATTAGTTGTTCTACTTTGATATTCACCAGGACCTTGGCTGAAAACTATAATTTTAGCTTTTTAATTTTTGAAGTGAAAATTTGATTTGAAAAAAAAAAATAATCAAAAAGAAGTTTGGAATATTTCTGCAGGTAATTTTTAAACAGTTGGATTTCCAGTTGGAAGCTTTAGCTCTAGCACCAACGTCGATATATGACAGCATAATCTGTCTGCTTTTCTTGCTGAACTCAGTTTAATATTTTCCCTTTTACTCAATTTTCATGCCGAAATCTCATCCAAGGACTTGACCCTTGTCCAAGAAACAGAGTCTTGATTTGATTGATTGGGGTTTTAGTACTGTATCCCAGAGGATTTATCTCAAACAACATGGCTCTAACAAATCCAGCAAGCCTCTGATTCACATAGGAAACAATCCTTTTTGCCTCAACATGACCCAAAACCCAAGCCAAGTAGAAAGAAGTCCCCCTCTTATTTTATTTTTTGTTATCATGAAGGAGAATGGATTCAGATGAAGCACTTACAACCACTTCAACTTAGAAAACACTCCTGGGGTAGTTGTGTCACCTAAAGTAGCTACTGCAGCACCGCTAATAACTGGATGCATGATAAGTGGCTGCAATCGAAATTTACAGAAATAAAAACTAAGTCGTTCAGAATAGATAAATAAAAATAGTTGTGCAGATGTGAAAAAAGATGCAGTTGTCTTACCTGGGGACACAGGCGGTCGAGGTTTCCCCCTCGGGGGCTTCGGGGGCGGGGCAGCAGAACTGGTGAAGCACTGTTTGGTTGCTGTAGAAACAAAATAGTAGAATACAAATTATTTTAAGACACTGTCCAGAATTGTAAAAGCATTGTATAAAATACAAAAAGGCACTTTCAGTACACCCATGGTGTTTAATGAGTACCATTGAATGTGATTATAACTATAACTTGTTCACTTAAAAAGCTAATATGAATGCATAGTGCAATGTGTGTGTCATCTTAAAAGCAGAGCGTTATCACCGTCTTTTATTCTGAAATGAAAAGGACTTCAGAAAAAAAATGGAATTGAAGCTGTAGTTGAAGTTATGGGCCACATTTCATGTGCATCACTTGCTTTTTTCAAGTTTGTCTGTATTCAGAGGATCTGAAAGTGATGATAACATGGAGATGCAGAGAACGAGAGCTGCTTTCATCACCATGGAGATAGACACAAAGAGACGGTTTCAGCACCACAGAGAGAGACACAGACAGAGAGTGGATGAGCCAGCACTACGGACAGAGACAGTAAGAGACTGGCTGACTTTGCATGAATGTGTCTGCTTCTGGAAAGATAAAAACCTTATATCAAAGAAAGAATCCCCCCCCCTAAACCCCAGTATCTGTGCTAGTCATATGTGCTTAGTCTTACTCAACTTAATACACTACCTGAATCACTCCTGAATGACACTGTGGCCTTTAGTCACCTCAAGTAAGAATGGAAAATCTGAAACAGCAGCAATAATATACAAAAGGTTTTGACAAGGAACATGAGAAATCTGGCTATTCAGAAAGCTAAGAAAATGATACTTTCTGAATGGACTCATACAAATTTATATATTTTTTTAAATAAACTTTGGTCCAACTATTAGATAAAAAAACCCAGGAAAGGAGCAACAGGTCGGTCCAGAACTTGAGGACCACAGCCTCCGCACGTAGGTCGCGCACTAACCACCAGGCCTCAGCGCCCCAACATCATTTAATCATGACATTGAACCGATGAGTACTGGTTTTAGTCAGTAGTCATTGTTAGCATGTCCTTGAAATTGGAAGAACTAAATTCTTATAAAAATCACTCTGTGGTAAATACGATTTTTGAGGTAATAACTCCCTTCCAGCAAAGGTATAAAAATCGATTTAAGTCTTCAACTCTACAAAATGATGTGTGCAATGAAGCATTGCGGACTATCACCTTTCCTCTTGTATGTATGACTCAGAAGTGCTGTTATACAGGTTTAATTACAATCAGACTAAAGGAACACAATTTATAAACCTGTCCTTGCATCCAACCCTGAAGAAAAAAATTACTTAAAGGATAGTGAAAGCAGCAAGTGCGCTACTCATGTGTCAAAGCATTTAAGTACATTTATTATTTGAAACAGAGTTCAGATGTAAAGTCTCAAGCTAAGGTGATACTGAAATGAAGAGAGGAAAGAGCAGGATATTAAATGTTAACGTTCATGTGAGAAACCCACGAGTGCTTTTGCCTTCCTCGCTCCATCAGTGTGTCCTCCCTTTCAAACTGCTTCACATTCTTAGTTCTCAGGCTTCATCAATCTCAGTCTTCCCCTCCCCCGCTCCTCTCCTTCTGTCCCCTTTTACACTGATTTTTCATCACTCTCTACTACTCCCCATCCCCCTATTTAGGGTCTTACAGGCACTGCGTATTATGCAAGAGAAGAATTTGCTAAATGAGCCTCTAGCCTGTGAAAAAAAAAGGAAAAAAAAAAGGGCAGCAGCTCTCTGTATCCCTGGACAGAAACACGGTGAAGAAAGGTGAGACTTAAAGATGATGAAGCAGGGGCTGATGTTCCCAGCTGCAGCAACCCCTCCATCCTTTATCACCCCTCTGCTGACTTTCAATCTTCTGCTCTGTAGTCCATCTCCCTGACCTTGTCTTTTTATGTTTCCCCCCCTGTCGGTCCCTCAGGAGTGCACAGAGAAAACAAGGAGACCTGAATGTCTTCTTCTGTGCCTCTCTGAGGGGCTGGTTCACCTCAAGAACACTTCAATCCCAGATTGAAGGTTGAAATCGAGCCAAGGCAGAAAGAAAGAGGTTTTTAGAGGGACGTTTGGGGAGGTACTCGACAGCAACAAAAAAAGCAGACAGCACAGGGAGGGCATGACAGCAAATTAATTCCCATTGTTAATGCGTCTTCTAATTGTTCTGCCTTAACGACCATGACACCGCTGTGGCTGTTTTTAATAGGTGGAGAACACAGACCATCTCTGAGGGGACACAGATTAGTGTGAGCGTTGGAGACAGCAGAGCCCCAATGTTTGCTCTGATAAAGGGAGTGTGTTGCCCAGGACGGGGGATAAAAAACGTCCGGCTTAATAGACCGCGATCAATTGTGTTGCTTATTTTGTTTAATTTTATTTACATGATGAAAATTTGCAGCAAATGTACACAAACGTGATGAGGTCTGGGGAACACATCACTAGTGTTTGTATTTTGGCATGGAACCTCTAATATTACAACATGTTGACCTTGTTGGATTAACACTGGTATATTTGATGTAAAAAAAAAAACCACTAGATTTGTACATTCTGAGGATATTTGAGCATATAAATAGGCAGCTATTGTTGTACAGTGCTCCACTGCTAATTAGGTGTACAGCTTCATTTACCGGAAATAGATCCTGAAAGGGGAGAGTTCAGTATTTTGGGGAACGATCGCTTGCACATGACTCAAACGTAACCAAGCAGACATTTTGCCTAATCTTTACCAAATAGACTGAGAGTGGAGGATGACATGTGGGAAAGTGTTGAGATTGAGAGTCGAACCTATAGCCTCTGTACATGGAGATGTACTGAAACCGCTAGGCTATCCAGAACCCCAAAAAGTATACAATTTAACATTATTTCATGTCTAATAGTCTAATAGTCTGAAATCTTCACAAGTAGCTTGGCAGGAGCCCGTTAGAAGGAGATCAGGCTTTTCATTTTTGAGGTCTTTATGCTATGCTATGCTAGGCTAACAGGCTTCCCTTTTGTCTTCATATTCATAGCGCAAATATAGTAGATGGTTTTTTAAGAATATTTCCTAAAACTGTTCAAAGTTATGGTACTAATGACACAGTTTGATAAATTATGTAACAGCATTTGTGGTTGGTTTAGTAACGTTCCATGTTACCTGTTCACTGTTCTTCTAACCCAAAGGAGCTCAATTCAAGGACAGCTAATGCCCCTCAGGGCGGATGATGAAACAGTTGTTGAGATTGCACGGGCACATAAATAACTGACATCAATCCACACACGACCAATCATGCGTTAATACCTTTAGGGGGGAGAATAGCGGAGAAGATCACATCTGAATCACTGATATTCCCATATTTGAGAAAATCATTTCACGGGGAAAGTATTTTGGGATGGAAAGGGGATGAACTCTTTATCTTATAAACCACCTTTCATCTTAACCATCTATCTCTTTCTGCTTTGATCTCCGAGTTCTCACAATTTTCTCCCGCCGACTCCCTTCTTACTATCACCTCCATCTCTGCACCCGGAAACAGATTGAAAGCATTTCATATCAGCTGATTAAGAGGCTGCCTTTTTAAAAAGCTGTGATGCGGAGGTGGCATTATACAGTACAATCGGCTTAAACGGCTTAAAAGTCATATGTTTGTTCATGTTCAAATAAAGTCATAATTTCCTAATTAATCGCGTCAATCCTTGCATTTCAAAGTTCAAGAACACGCAAACATTTCTTCAACATGAATATGGAATTATACCACTAGACATAATTCAGAAAATTTGCAAGGCTACAAACTGTTTCCTCAAATTTTGTTCGCCCCCTCCTCAGAACAGAACGCGCTGTTTGATCAATCCGCGTCGAAGATTAAAGTGAACTCGTGTGACCTGCTTTCTGTTCTTCCACACCACTGACTCAGCTCCCCTCCTGGCCTTAACTCGCTAATACCACCTATAAAAAATCTATAAGCTTTTATAAGCTCTTCCACACACCAGCTCTGTTTGAGGAAGAGTGTAATCTGCACAGCACGGTTTCATCGTATTTTTGTTTTAACTTCCAATTTCTAATGTGTTTGTCGATGCGCTCCTCCTCGCGCTGGATTCAGCTTTGCTGTGTCAATAGCTCTCTCCGGCTGATTCATCTCGGCTCGGCTCAAGGCGGAAAAAGATCCGTGCACACTGGAGTGACACAATTTGAAGCATGTGACAAAACGAGAGAGAAAAAGGAGAAGGGGGGGTCAAAGCTGGGAATAATTGACGGATTAGGTTTCACAGACCATTTTCCTTGGCAGTCAGGGAAAAAATGGCTGTGAACATGTTCACTCATCCATATAACATAATATGTGGCATTAGGAGTGTGGAGGCCAAACAATGTAAATACAAACACAGTTGACCTTGGAGACAGCAAACATATTTACAATATTGGGCCAACTCTTTAAGGTTGCAGGACTGTTTGCTGAAAAAGGGATTTTTTATATTGCCATTAGTTAATCTCCATGTTTGTTTTAATGCTGCTCTTTTGAATGCATTGAAGAGTCAAGGTCAAAGACAAATAGAGTGCAGACTTGAAAGACGACATTTATATTCAGCAACAGTATAACATATCTGAAGCAGTATAAACCGTTAAAGAAGCATCTAAAGAAAAGCACTTGTGGAATTCTTCATCCCCAGAAGGTAGTGTCATATAGATCTAATAATACTAAACTGTTTTCTTCAGGTTTGTTGGGTACACATTACAACATAATTGCTGCCTCAATTATGTTCCCAGACAACGCTTTTAAAGTGATTGAACTACTTCAACTATGTCTGTGTGTCCACAGACAGACAGCGACAAAATAGAGCTGACGCCGAGGGCATTTTGGCGTTCATGGCGCTGACCACTGAAGATGCTGAACTGCATTGGTTTTGTATTGAAAACTAGCGCTGTGCTGGAGTTACAAAGTGGTAAATGGTCGCCTAAAAAAGTTTCACACCAAATTCACGGGTTACATTGCGATTTTTTGGTGGACAGAGGCACTTGGTGGTTTTCACTATTCTCAGAATAATGAAAAAACTTCAAATAAAAGCCAATTCCAACT